TCAGCGTGACCCAACTTACCATCTTTCTGACAGGAGAGAATGATGAATAATTGAACTGAATATTTCACCTTTTCCACACAGTAGCTATAAAAAGTAAATCTGCAGAGAAACCAGGGGTTTTGTGTGAGAATCACTAATAGGTGTCTTTGACTGGGGAGTGGCCACAAGAGCCACATGGAATTTTCAGTCCATAAAACTTGAACTTCTGTCTGTTCCTGAAATAAGAAATTCTCATTCAAAATCCCACTGACACCTGTAACTATTTTGATTTGATTGATTTATTCTTTCAAACATGTAGCAACAGTCAGTATGTAATCACACGTAATTCCAGACCACAAAAATATTTTCAAATTGCTTATACGTAGTACATGCTTGAACGGAGTAGGAAGAAGTTAGACTTATCTAGTCCTACCCCATGACATCATCTTATCATCATTGGTTTGCAAGCAGTATTACTACATAGATACATATTCTACATCCACACTCCCATCTGATTAATCGGTAAACCTGTTCTTGCATATATCTTGATTGACACATACCTTTATATTTATGTTTAAACTTGTCAATTCTAGTACTGTTTTTTATGTCTACACTTAAGTTATTCCATAGTTTTACCCCACTTATGGAAATACAAAATCTTTTTTTGGTTGTACGTATAGCATGATTTTTTAAATTTAACTGACCCCTTAAATTGTATCCCCCTTCCCTTTCATTAAATAGTTTTTGAATTCCACCAGGTAATAAATTGTTCCTGGCTTTATACATAAACACAGCAGTCTTATATCCCACTAAATCGAAAAATTTTAACAATTTAGACTGTATGAAAGCTACACTGGTGTGATCCCTGTATCCCAGCTTATGCACAATTCTTATCGCTCTTTTAATCTATGCTTTCTCAACAAGAGGTGGTGTAATATCCATCCCTCCATTATCTATACCACTTATTCTGAACAGGGTCACAGGGAACTGGAGCCAATCCCAGCTGACATTGGGCGAGAGGCAGCATACACCCTAGACAGGTCGCCAGTTTATCACAGGGCTGACACTTAGAGAAAGACAACCACACATACTCGTATTCACTCCTACATGCACTTTAGAGTCACCAGTCAAACTAAGATGCATGTCTTTGGACTGTGGGAGGAAGCTGGAGCACCTGGAGAGAAGCCACACAGACACAGGGAGAACATGCAAACTTTGCACAGAAAGGCCTAGAATCTTCTTGCTGTGAGGCGACAGCACTAACCACTGTTCCACCATGTAATGTAAGGTGGCTTCAGAAGATATTCAGACCCTTTCACTTTTTGCATACATTATTTGTTGTGTTGTATTTAATTTTTTTAAATTATTTAATTTTAAATGGATAATTGTCATTTTGCACATCAATTGAAACTTAATAACCCATATTGAGAAAAAGAGGAAAACCATGTTTTTTTTATGTTTGCACATTTATTAAAAATAAAAAACAGAACTCTCTCATTTACAAAAGTATTCAAACCCATAACTCAGTTCTTTGAAGAAATCCTTTGGCATAAGTTACAGCTTCAAGTCAGGTAAATTGTCAGAAATCGGTGCGCAATGCTGCCGAAAAGTGTTAGATGAACTCATTAAATGGCCAGACGAGGAAGTGTAAAACAAAACCGTCTCTTTATTAAGAGAACTAACGTTGAACAAAAGAAAACCATACAAGACACGGTGAAAACACAAAACTCACATGTCCTTAACAGTTCGAGGTCAGAGCCAGCAAACACATCCAACAGAGGTGATCCAAAATACGTAGTCCAGAGGGAAGTCCGATATCATACACTGTGGCAGTCCGAGACAAGAGGGCAAAGCAGAAACGAATATACCAAGGTAACAGTCCGGGTCAGAAACACAAAATACCAAAGCCGAAGAAACTGCTGGAAAGTCAGAGCTGGGATCTAGAACAATCTGGCGGGGAGTGATGGGTGAAGGCTGTTTATAATGTGGTGCAAACAGGTGCAAACTAATCGGGAGCAGGTGAATCCAATGTGAGTGATGAAGAATGTAAAAAGACCAAAACTAAGGTAAAACAAAAACAGGAAGTAATGTCAAAATAAAAGCCGGACGGGAAGCAGCGGAACCGAATCATGACAGTAAATCTCTACATGCTTTGCAGTTTATCCCATTTGTTCTTGCCAGATCCTCTCAAGCTCCATCAGACTGGAATGTTTGAAATCACTCCACAGAAGCTCTGTGGGGTTTAAGGGAGATCAATACCCTTTCAGCATAATTAAAATTATTTTTTAATGTGAAATTATATAATGATTATAACTCAACTCATTAGAACTCATATTAGTTCTGTTTATTTGATTTGCAGCACTTTTCCTGCACTGGCCATTTAATGCTAGATAATGTTCTTTTTTTTTGTGAGCTCCACACAATTAAAGGTCTTAAAGCAATGGAAACAATTAAAGCACATCATGTCTCTCCTGATTATAGACTTCATTCTAATTGGTGAGCTATTCAAACTGGCAAAGAGACTGGGTGAAAGGTCAGTGTGTTTCAGGTGGCTGCAGCAGTATGAAAGGTGTGGGCTGCTGGAGGACATCTATTATTTATTTCATTAGCCTGTTTGTCTTTACCTGTATTGTTGCAAAAAGGGCTTTAAGAATCCTACTCTTATTATGTGCCCCACTGAGCTGACACAGCATCACCATTATCAGGCCAGTTAGAAACTGAGGACTAGTTTTGTTTATTTGCATAATTTTTAAATGCAGATGTCATAATAAAAAGGTTCTTTGCATCATAATGTGCAGTAACTAGCTACAAGTGTCCACATGTCTTCCAATTAATGGAGAAATTGATTTCCTCATTAAATAGCATACTTAGTGTGCAATTAATGCAAAGCAGTAGTCAGTGGGTCATTTTAAATAATCAGAATCTGAATCCGCTTTATCGGCCAGGTGTGTTGGACACACGAGGAATGAGTGGTACAGCCGCTCTCAGTGTGTATGTACAGTGTTCTTCTGTAAAGCAACGGTGCAGACAAATAAACAAGACAAGGCTGAGAGGGCAAAAAAAGAAAAAGAATGTGCAAACAAGCAAAAGGAGTGTGCACTAGGAAAATAAAAAATAAAGTACTTAAAAATACAGAATATAGGAGCTGGTGATGTTTTGCAGATACTGTTATGTCCAGTTAGCTAGTTTTCAGAAAATATTTTACACAGAATAATCATTTAGGTATCATCTACATCACCAGTGTGTTTTCCCTTAAGATGACAGTTTCAGAGTCAAGAATAAAGAGATGTGTATGCATCAATACACAAACAAAGTACAACAATATTTGGATATATGTTAAGAAAGTACATCCTGGGAAATGGTGTGGACAATATGGATCAGCTGTTCCTACTTCACACTTCAAGGTGCTAAAATCGCCACTAGTACCAGGAACTGACACAATGTGGACAAGAAAAATGGTTTCATTTGAGTTTCAGATCTTAGGAAAAGACACTGGCTTGTTAATTTTATAACGACAGTCCAACACATGCCAAATGAGTTCACCATATAGCATTTTTCAAGTGTATTTAAAGGATCAGTTTGACATGTTTGGAAATACATTTACATGTTTGTATGCTGAGAGTTACTGTAGATCACAAGACTGATACCTGTTTCCTTTAGTTTCACAGAGCTTATTGGTTTGGTTCACTCTCACCACCTCACTTTCATTGTACAGTACACTACCTGCTGAGGAACAAACAGCAGGCAGACATAGTGACTCACTGGTGAACGCATTGGAGCTAAAGACTATATTATAGTATGGTACTGTGGCAAACAAACTTCAGGGGAAGTCCTGGTCCTGCCTGTCTCCATGCAGCCAATTGTAAGCCTGTTTATTGATAGTTTCTGGTGAATTGCCTTTAATTCAATGTGTTCTGCCTGAGTCTCTGCATGTGGGTCCTTTTCCATGTTGCCCCATTTGGAGTGCCATTGGCTTGTAAAGCCTTTAAAGTTTCCAAACCAACATATAGCTGCTGTCTTGAGTTTTCTTGCTTTTCCTGAATCTACCATGGCAAGTGCTCAGTCACATAGTCATATCACCTCTATTAGAGTAAATCAAAGCAGTGCTGCCATTAGGTTTTGTATCATTTGTATCATAATTGCACATTGACTGTTGACTCTGCTGCACATGCTGCTCCCATGCAGCATACATTCTCTTATTATATTCTTATATATTTTTATTATATTGCTGCATTTGCTGCTTAAAGTGCCTTAGATTTTGTGTTGCTTATTTATCTACTTTATATTTCATTTGTATTTTGTGGCATTCATGTGGATGGCAAAGTAAGAATTTCATTGTACAGGGAAACTAACTGTGCATATGACAAATAAACACTTTGACCTTTGACCATTTATCTCTTAAGTTTCCTGTTGAAGTGCTCACGGGAGCTTAAAACCACAGGCTTGCTACCAGACGCAGTGAAGCCTTGTGATATTGGCTGTCAGCACAATGGTAAGTTACGCAAGCTTGCTGAGAAGTGCCAGGGGAGATCTGAGCTCGATGTGCCCGTGAAGAAGTAAAATGATAAACGCACCTGCTGGTGAAAGTGAAGAATTGCAGCACACAGAGATGTGCTGCTGAACTATCAATTAAACATAAAACCAGCGCTCTAGAGTAGCAGATGAAGTTGCTCCTTTTTCTTTCGTTGTGCTATGCATAATGACAATAAAAGATAAGGATAATCACCTTTATTGGCCAAGTATGTTACACACAAGGAATTTGTTTCCAGTACAGAACCGATGGCAGCCATCTGTAGCGCCACCTCAACCGATGGCTCTAACCAACGGGGGAGGGTGGGGTTCAGTGTCTTGCCCAAGGACACTTCGACACGTGGACTGGAGGCACCAAGATTTGAACCTTCAACCTTCTGGTTGGGAGACGACTAAGATTCTTGACTTGACTGACTTGACTTGAAATGAAATAGCATCAAATGACATTTCACTCTGTATTCACTCACATGTCTTTTGGTTTCTTTTTTTAGGAATACCAAATTGACATCATGTTCGCTCAGACGTGGACAGACAGCCGTCTCAGATACAACAGCACAATGAAAATACTTACTTTGAACAGCAATATGGTGGGTCTTATCTGGCTACCAGACACCATCTTCAGAAACTCCAAGACTGCTGATTCCCACTGGATTACAATGCCTAACCAGCTGCTCAGAATATGGAATGATGGGAAGATACTTTACACCCTAAGGTACCCGCAGATATCCATCCATCCCGTTTCCCTTTGTGCTGCATAAGCACATTTTCCTATTAATGATTAGCATTATTAATAAATAGCACCACTGCTATAATCATACATATAAAAAACTTGCTATATATCAATTCATTACAGAATGCTGTTTGCATATACTGTATATCTAAAATTGTATTACACATATTGGTATTCATGGGAAAATTGTGTTACTGTAGTTGTAAATCTTGTGTGTGTGTGTGTGTGTGTGTGCGTGTTATGTGTATGTACTCAGAAATATGTGTACCCATTCTTTTGGTCAGACCTACTGTATAATGCAATGCATGTGGTTTTGATTTATACATAAATCTCAGTCACTGTGGAGCCGGGCTTACAGTATGTGCACAAACCTGATTGTCGCTATTGCAGTTACCTCCTTATATTTGCATATCAACAATTCTGTTCGCTCAACAGCCTTTCAGTGCAAAGATCAGCAAAAGAATTAATGCAGTTTTACAAATCCCAACCAGAGGTGGACTGGTCATCCGTCCCTTCAGGGAAAGTCCACAACGGCCATCGGCCGTCCAGACAGCCGTCAAACTAGCCTACAATCCGTGCAGCCCATCAACAGTAAGCTTCTCTCACTCCTTATAAGATATGAGGAAAAGATGCCAGGAAAATTTCAAAGAGAGAGGAATCAAGTAAACATGTTTTTAGAAATATGAGGCATCCTTTCCTCCGATCCTTCATCTGAGGTGTTCAGTCATCAACTGATTTCCAATAAAGGGGCATGTCGGTCCACAAAAGACTTCCGGGAAGGACGCACTGGTATATCCTCACTCCTCCTCCTCACTGTCTCCTGCAGCAGCCTCCTTACTCCTGAAATCCTCCTCCTTCAGCAGTGGAGGAATAAGAGCTTAGGGACGACTGGAATGACTTAAAGAGGTCAAGCAAGGATCAAGGAGTGAGGAACAATCAAATAAGGACAGATGGGTCAGGCAGGTCTCAATAAGTACAGGGCAAGGTGCACTGATGGAAAATAATCAGAGCTGGTGGGCCTTCCAAGCTTTTATGTGTATTACCATTAAATACCTCTCATTGGCTAAGCTTAACAGCTCTTGTACAATTTCATGAACTTCATGTGAGACTTCAGTTGACAGGAACAGCAGCCTAAAATGATTTTTTATGTTTCCATATACATAAATTCATGGACCAGTGTAATGAAGTTAAGTGTAGTAGGGCTTCTGACAATCAATAAAAATGTATTGAATGTGTCAGTGACAGGCTACATAAGTATGCAGATATTTCAATTAGTAAGTTCAGTTTAAGCATATAAATATGAAATGTGCAGTAGTCCTGTCATTTTCTGTTTGTACACAATAAAATACCATAATTTCCTATGTACAATTACAGAAGTATGTACAGTATTCTATAGAAACAGCTTATATGCTTTTATGGGTTGGGAGAATGCTGAGATTTTATTTATTTATTTAAATGGCTCTATACACATGTACCTCATGCAAAGTTGCATTCTGATTTGAACATTCTAGCTTATGGGATATCAAGTAGCCTGTCATTTGAACACTGCATTAACATATTTCATCATGCTTCCCACAATTATTTCCCCAAATCCTCATGTTTTCTGTGCGGTCTGACCATTTAAACGTCCCCTTGAGAGCCAATAAGGTTTCTCAGCCAACCAGTCACTTTATATTATATCAGGCGCCAGTAGTCTTATTCACTATGATATTTATGCCAAACAATTTGTGATGCAAACATTCCCCAAGAAAAGAGCAGCGCCAAAACAATTAGCCCCTGTCATTAGCCACTGTAAGTGTAAATTGCCTGCTTGAGCTTTAAGACCAATTTACTGATGCAGCCACCCTCGTGCCCTGAAGCTCTCCTTTTAATTGGACTATTCCACATTAATATAAACTGTTCCTTCAGTAATGAGCATTTCTTAACTGTCCTCAGTCTTTTTTGGCAGTCTTCATGTTTGGATATTGATGTGAGACAGATTTTTAATTGTTTACGATTGTTAGGATTGGTCTGTGTTTTAGTAGAATGTAGAAGATTCCAATGTCTGTAAAACATTGCGTTGGACTGAAGGAAATATAACTTTTCACATGAAGCTAGCACATTTCAGCAAGAATGAAAAAGTAGCATGATGTCTATGAACAAGACAAGTCACAAACAAAACCCAGCTACAGTTGATCCTCCTTCATGCAGCTCTATTGATACCCGCTATTCAGGAGTATGCAAACTTTGAGCAGTAATATCCGTTGATGGCATGAGAATAAGACAATGAAATGTCATTTGGTTTTAATTGTGCATTGGCTTGGCTGGAGTAAACAGAGATGACATTTTGTGATATCCATGCCTCTCCCACATGAATGGTATTGTCCCACTTCCATGCTTTAATGAGGTTTAAGGATCATACCAGAATTACAGTACAGTGTCTCTCTCTTTCTGTCTCTACTCCCTTCTTTTTTCCTGTCATATCTGTGTCCACTTATGATCATTATATATTTATTATTCCGATTTACTTAAATTGTGATGGAGTTTTTAGCTTATATTCCATGGAACTGAGTGGAGCCTGTGTGGAACCCGAGTTGCCACCTCTGTGAGGCTGTACTTGGGCACAGCAGTGCCTTCAGCTAACTAATGTTGGCAGGCTAACGTTCTCGGGTCAAGCAGGTGTAACGTTCACCTTGTTTAAAACATGTTGCTGTTTGATAATAATCATGAAGCAAAGAGTCAGTTTAAATAACACATTTTTGAATATAAAAGCTTCTCAGATGCCAAAACACCTGAGATGCCAGTGGTTTGTAATACTATGAGACAGACATTGTTGTCTACCATTACCAGCTGTCAGTTGATTAAACTATTTACAGTAATTGCAATTAATCGTTTGACTGACCATAGTTAAGCGCAAATTATTTGCACAGTTTTATCTACCATAAAGGGGAATTTTTCAAGTGTCATGTCATGAACAGTGCTGAGTGTGCTGACTTTATGTTCAGTGTTCCACTGTTTTGCTATATGCATAAAGTGCTCTATGTGCGCTTCAGCAAAACATCTCTCCTCTGTCTTCATAGCAGTCAGTGAATACCACTGAAGTTCCCACTGCTCGTCAAATAATGCACTATTACCTCAGGGTAACTGTGATTGCTCTGTGAAGACCAGTAGTGAGCATGACCCTCCTAGTCTGTCCCATCACTTCACCTGCTTTTGCCATTTGCCGATACAGGTTCTGTATCTTCGATAGCTGGTAACAATCACTGGATGTGATCCAAATTAGTTCACACAAACCCTCATCCTCCACACTGTTAACTGGCCTGCAAGCTGTTATTGCTGTTGAAAGCTTTCTGCTTGTAGGTTTATTCATGGGTTTTTCTCTCAGACTGCATGCTTGGTTTGCTGCAGCTGAGATGGTGTGGGGCTAATGAGGCTACCTGCATTAGCTGTGTTCTTGGATAGTAAATGGTATTTAAGAGTAGATGTACGCAGGTGGTTACTCAATTCATATTGACAATAACTATAAGTAACTTTTTTATTGTTGACTCAACCAACCAATTTGATAGGTAGACAGTAGTAATACTGTGGGCATGTATTTAACTGGCTACTGCAGTACCTTGCAGCACTTTTTTGGGCTACCTTGTTTTTTTTTTTTAACCAAAGCCCTTCATGTGTTACTGGACTGGCTCTTTTCAAATGAATGAGGGAGGAGTGTAGGAGCAACAGCTGTAGGAGGTGCAACATCATGGCTATGTAATGTGCAATGGTGAGGGTCAGGGAAAATGGAGGAGACTGGCCACCACTCAGTGCTGGACAAAGTCAGAGCTAACAGCCATGAGAAGCTGCTGTAGGACTTTCATTTTCAAGAGACGGGCTGCTCCTCATTACCTTACAATATTTCACGTCTACTTGTTCCGGTCTGCCACCATGAAGTACTTCTCAGTTTCCCTTATTTCTGTTCAGAGGAGTAAGGAGGCTGCCTGGACGAGACAAGAGGACACAAGAGACCAGGACTCATCCTCTCCAGAAGTCTTTTCTCAGATCAACACACCCTCTTTTTAGAAATCTCTTAATGACTGTATGCAGCAGCTGATTGGACTGATCTGAAGTCACAGATGAATACAAATAACAGAATCCAGGTGTAATATCATCACCAAGCTAAGATTCTATTTGTGTTTTGATTCATTATTAGCTCTGTGTTAAAGGCCCATTTCATAAAGAAGCCATCAAACAACTTCCGTGTGTTATCACAGAGCTTTTCTTTTCATTTTTGGTAATTTTGCCATTCTAACATCATAGACAATCTCATAGTCATAGAAAGGAGGAGCCAGTTTTTTCCACAGTAAAAATATTGTGACCAAATTAAATATTGGCTTTGACCAGACAAATTCCCTGTGTATCAGGTAGCAAGAATATTTGGACCTAAGCTAATTTTCACATTCCCTAAAACATAAACAGTTTAAAAATCATAGCAGTTTTCATCATAACCTGGATTATTACATAATGAATTTAAAAACAAAATATCAATAAACTCAGACACAAAGATGAAAAAACAATCACTGATGGCCCACTGTACTGTTTGTGCTTTCACTCTCAACAGTAACTTAAAAACTGGTTTTATGCATGTGTTGCTAGTATAAATCCAAAAGATGCTTATCATCCTGCTTATTCAAGGGGAAACATGCCACATTTCACATTTACACTGCTGTGCTGTTAGTATTAACTGTTCATCTTTATTACTATTTGGGCAATACAGCCTCATGTATGCACAATGATGTAGTGCCTCCTGCCTGTTACTAGCCTTTCACTGACTCCCTTTGCCCTGTCCGCCTGCTGATTGCCTGCCTGTTGCTGACCTCCACCTGCCTGCTAGCTTCACCTCTCATCATTCCTTGTTCTCTGCTTGGCTTGCCTCACTTTCTAATATAGGTGAACTGTTTGACCTGTTTTATGGTGTTTCTGAGTTGTGCTTTTGAAACTCTTAATTCAGCCTGATGTGTGACAGCAGCTGGTCTATTTCATCACATGTGAAGAGGTCAGGGCACATTTAATGCTTCCTGTAGCCTCGTTCCCCCTGAGCTAAGAAATATTACTTGCTTTAGTTAAATGCATTATAACTGTAGATCAACAGTGTCTTGGTTTCACAGTTACATTCACAAGTTTGTCTGGTCTTCAGGGACAGCTGACCTTTAGCTGCATGTGTTAATTGCAGTGGCTAGGTTAGTTAATACCTAATCATGGTACAGTACCCGAACAATAGGAAATTGTAGAGTGTTACACTGTGTCTCCACAACATTGTTTCTCAATACTAGTCCACAGAGTGAATAGACTGTCACTCACCTCTTCTGTAAATGTGTTTTTATGAGTTTTGTGAGTTATGGACCACTGAAGCCTGTCAAACGTCTGTCCACACAATTCCTTGGTTGTCACTGGAGGCTAATAAACATCACAGGAAATCCCTCTTTTTTCACTTATTGTTTATTGTTCACATAGATAATGGCTGTCATGTAATGTAGTGTTACTTTAAGAAAACAACATGTAAATACAAACAAAATAATGTAGCAAAGTATCAAATATTCTCAACTACTGTAATTTATACTACTGCAGATAAAATAAGTTCCATTTTAGGATATAATATTTAACAATTATTTTTGTGATTAAACAATTAAAGGAGAAGTTCAACATTTTGAGAAACATGCATAACTTTTTTTTTTTGGCCAAGAATTAAATCAAAAATTGATGCCACTCTCATGTCTGTGGGATAGCCTACATATGAAACTATGGCCAGGTGCTCAGCAAAAAATGCTCATGAAACTGAGATTTATAGTTTTAACACTTTGATCCTAGCATAACTTCAACAAATCACAAACATGTTAAGTAGTTAAGCAGTGAGATTTTGAGGTTCTGGTCGATATTTGTCTGCCTTTGGACAAAGCTTGACTAGGTGTTTCCCCGGCTCTAGCATTTATCTCGACAGCTTTATGTTTAGCAAACAAACATGAGATGCTGGTTTTTGCTTGGAAAATGACTTGAATAAACCATTGTCAGAATAGTTGCAGATTAAAGGTTGTGTCTTTCCCACCAAAATGTAGGAATGTGTGTATGTGAGCCTCTGGGTCATTGTGCACACCTACAAAATACAGAACATTGCTTCATTGTTCTACTAATGGTCAAAAACTTTCCAGTAGAATGTACCTTTCCTTTTCTTTTGATTGACTAATTGATTAATGGAGTAATGGTCTCAGGTCTAATATATACAGTATGTCAAACAAAGCTACATCTGATTTGAAGTGATTTGAAGAATCAGATACAAACTGCATCATATATGTAGGTCAGACAGTTGATGTTTTCTGTCCAGTCCTGAAAAACTAGGCTTTTATAATACACTATAAAAATTGGGACCTTTGTTTTTACAGATGAATAGGTTTTTGTTCACTGAATACAAATATCCTTGAGGGGAACTAGATAATCAATTTATGTAGGAACTGAAAGACGCTGTGAAGGGCAGATTCTTCCCGAGCTCTGCCCCTGTAGGGCATGTTCTGAAGCTCTGTGATTTAGAGATGTCTTAGTCTCCACTCATGGTTGTCTCACACTAATTACTGTTCTTGAACCGTTACACTGTAGATTGATGACTACTAATTAACAATTCCAGCCCCACTCAAGGCTGAGAGAGTAAAAAAAAAATTAACATGCACTGATGCTTTCATGGCCATGTTAATGTCACATTATTTCAGTGTGAGCCTGTTCAAAATGAGTCTTATAAATAGACGATGCTTTGAAAGTCTAAATAAGATTAAATCAACGTATACATTTTATTGACACATTAAAAAGCTCACTACGGTGACACACCTAAAGATTCACCATTGAATCTTTTCTTTTCAGACTGACAATAAATGCAGAATGCCAGCTACAGCTGCACAACTTTCCGATGGACGAACACTCCTGCCCACTCATCTTCTCCAGCTGTGAGTATACCTTCCACAGTGTTCTCTATATGGGGCCAATCTGCTGCTGCTATATTTGTCTATAACATTTACCATTTACAATACAGTATATACAGTACTATACAGGCACAAAACAGCCAACTGAAAATACTTCTTTTGATGTATCTTGTACAACAATATTACACATTATATGTTGTGTTTCAGGCGATTATATTGAACTGTTTCTTTAAGTGTTTGCCGAACATGAGCTTATTTTAGTGTCCATCAGAATAAAGCTGTATGTGTGAGAAAAGAAGGCAAAGAGATGCAGAATGATTGTGTAGTAGCTATTAACAAGCAAATTACTTTCAGAAGTAAAGGTGAATTCACATACAGTATATTGAATTAGCTTTTAATTGCTATAGTTTGTGGAGGGAGGTGATGGCGGCCAAGGGACTGAAAACAATCATGTACAGCATCACTGATGTTTTTATTTATGCAGTGTTACAGTACACTACTAAACTGTATAGATAAAATATTTGTTTTTTTTAAAATAGACACTTCCATTTGTTAGTCTATTTTGCCATGTATTATCAGTCTGTGAGAGAAAAATACAGTATAAACACACAGGGTATGTAGTCAAAGGTGCACTGTGCATAGAACACCTGTGTATTCACTGCCTGAGCAGGGACAGGGCCAGAGGGGTGGCCAGTGGTGGCAGAGGCCCCTTGAAATTACCACAAAGATGAGAAATTATCTCAAAGAGACAGAAAACAACTACAACAACACAAAATAACTACAGAGAAACAGTAAACAAGGTGCACAGCACAGTGAAAATAAAGAGGTTAGGTGTTAGGGTTATTTGGAGTTACAAATAGTTTAAATTATTTATATTAGTTCATATTATAATACTGTTTTTAAAGCTGGCATTTTTCTATTACACTGATTAAACACTGTAACTATTTAAAAATGTATGGTTTATTGTTGCCAATAGCCAGGGCTTTAAATGTGTTTGCATTTTTATGCCTTTACTCATCACAGGTTTGCCCCTTTTCCTTAAAAGTTTCTAAACCCACCAGTGAGCATAAGCAGACTTCAAAGGGCCAAATGCATCTAATACAACCTATGTTAACACTGATGACTGTGCTGCCCGGCTGCCTTGTCTTTCTGGAGATCCATACATCATATACCATGATTAGGGTTTATTTGTCAAGCCATTATAGTGAAGCAGCATTTTATATTGTTAGCCTTTCACATGAAGGCTGGTGTTCTGGTCTACTATACAACACCTGAATAATCTGACTTAGTAGAAGCTCCTACTGCAGTGTATACAGAATGAATGAAAAGACAGGATTATTATAGTATGATAGGTTTCATAAGATATCTTTATTGCAAAAACTGACAGGATTATTATAGTATGATAGGTTTCTTTATTGCAAAAACTTTATGCTAATCCTTTGGTTCAAGCTAGCTCATGTCACAACAACTTGTTCATCAGCTCAACAGAGCACTGTAAATTTCATATTGTGGAAGGTATGCTCATTGTTCGGTGTTTGGATGTAGCATGTAAAGGGCAGTCAGTCCATCTAGCAGGACACACAGTCAGCCTGATAATGCTTTGAGACAAAACATGCTGTATAGCTAATGTATTATCTGCTGCGGATCAGAGACCTACTATCAAGATTACACAGTGATTTAATGTGATATGACTTTGGCACCTTGTGCTGCTGATTAGAGCTTTAAACCTGCTCACTGCATTACTCTGTCAGTGGACCCATCCTGCTGTGATCCATTAAATCCATTTCCAAATCACTTGACATTACACTGGTTTCCATGACAACACCTCCGTTTTCTGATTAAGTCATATGTGGTTTTCTTTAAAACTATCATGCTTCTGGAGAATTGGAATAATAAGCTGAGTACAATACAATATAATTAAATATACAGACATAAAAGGAGCACAGTATATATACAGTACAATATACTGTATACTGTACAGTGCCTATAAACATTTTCAGCCCCTTTGGAAGTTCTCACCTTTTACTTTGTTACACATTGAATCATCATCTGTGTAATTACACTTATTTGACACAGAAATAGACACTTTCATGATAAAGTAAATTAATTACAAATATAAGACAGTAAATATTTGATTGCATGAGTATTCACGTCCTTCAAGTCAGCATTTAGCAGAGTCACCTTTGGCGTTCAGTTACAGCAGACTTTATGGATAGGTCTCCATCCTCCATGTGCCTCAGGACACTGGAGTTTTTCTCCATTCTTCTTTGCAATAACTGCTCAAGCTCTGTCATGGGGATTGTGAGAGAACAAGCCCAGCCACAAATTCTCAATTGGACTGAATTGTGGGCTCTGACTGGGCCACTCCAGAACATTAACATTATTGTTTTTGAGCCAATTTGTGTGAAGTTCTGGCTGCATGAATGGCAGGGGCAAACTGAAGCAACAATTCAGTCCAGGAATTTGACTCCATCCCAGGCCACCATGTTCACACAAATCACTTGACTGCTAATTTTGGAAGCTAACCCTATTTTTTGATGTAACAGGTGCCCGACTAGTTATAAATTTGTCCACTATGTTCATGTGGGGGGAAGTATCAAGATTACAAACTACAACAACCAACAAGAAGGCTATGTGAATACCGAATTTTCAAGGTATGCTGTGGCTATTGGTGAACCCTCAAAAAAAAAAGATAATTTCCTATAGATTTTTATATTCAAGCATCAAATCAAAAAAGTATAAAACACACTACAAACACACTGAAGTTTTACATAAACTACAACAATTTAAGTAAGTATAAGTTTTAATTTACAGTGTTCACTCACTCCTGTCAATAAAGAAAACTGCACAAAAATAAACACCAACCGCTGGAAAGTCCATAGTGTAGGGTTACTTCTTTTTTTTTTACTCGTGGAAACATATTTGCCATATGTCATATAACCGCCATGCTGAATTCATTGCTGATAAAATTCCTACACAAAGACATAAGATGGGCAAACTGTGAAGGTCGCCAGCCGTTGTATCACATTGTTACTAGCTACAGTACTTGTCTGGCCATTTGGGGCATATTGTGTCTGTGTGTTAACTACAGTGAGGAACAGAAGTATTTGAACACCCTGTGATTTTGCAAGTTCTCCCACTTAGAAATCATGGAGGGGTCTGAAATTCACATTGTAGGTGCATTCCCATCTGAGAGACAGAATGAAAAAAAAAATTCAGGAAATCACATTGTATGATTTTTAAAGAATTTATTTGTCTTGCACTGTTGAACATAAGTATTTGAACACCTGAGAAACACCAAGAATTCTGGCTCTCAAAGACCTGTTACTGTGCCTTGAAAAAGTCCACCTCTACTCCATTCATTAATCTAAATTAGTAGCACCTGTCTGAGCTCTTTAAAGACACCTGTCCACCCCACAGTCAGTCAGACGCCAACTACTACCATGGGCAAGACCAAAGAGCTGTCAAAAGACACCAGAGACAAAATTGTGGACCTCCACAAGGCTGGAAAGGGCTACGGGGCAATTGCCAAGCAGCTTGGTGAAAATAGATCAACTGTTGGAGCAATTGTTAGAAAATGGAAGAGGCTAAAGACGACTGTCAGTCTCCCTCGGACTGGGGCGCCATGCAAGATCTCACCTCGTGGGGTATCACGGATGATGAGAAAGGTGAGGAATCAGCCCAGAACTACAAGGGAGGAGCTGGTCAATGACATGAAGAGAGCTGGGACCACAGTTTCAAAGGTCACTGTCGGTAGAACACTACGCCGTCATGGTTTCAAATCATGCATTGCACGGAAGGTTCCCCCTGCTCAAGTCATCACATGTCCAGGCCCGTCTGAAGTTTGCCAAAGACCATCTGGATGATCCAGAGGAGGCATCGGTGAAAGTCATGTGGTCAGATGAGACCAAAGTAGAACTTTTTGGTCTAAACTTCACTCATCGTGTTGGGAGGAAAAAGAAGGATGAGTTGCATCCCAAGAACACCATCCCTACTGTGAAGCATGGGGGTGGTAACATCATGCTTTGGGGGTGCTTTTCTGCGAAGGGGACAGGACGTCTGCACTGTATTAAGGAGAGGATGAATGCTGGAGTGGCCTAGCCAGTCTCCAGACCTCAATCCAATAGAACATCTTTGGAGGGAGCTTAAACTCCGCGTTGCTCAGCGACAGCCCCGAAACCTGCCAGATCTAGAGGAGATCTGTGTGGAGGAGTGGGCCAAAATCCCTGTTGCAGTGTGTGCAAACCTGGCCAAGAACTACAGGAAACGTTTGACTTCTGTAATTGCAAACAAAGGTTTCTGTACCAAATATTAACACTGACATATTGCTTATTAGGACCCTTTACTTTTTCTTTCTCTCCTTCTCTGCTCCACCTTTCCTTTTTTACTAAACATGACAACCGTCCATTTCATCGGGCAACTTGTCTGCAGTGTTATAAGTAGAGTAGCAGGGAGACCTTTGCTTTGTGTGTCAGAGAGAGGTGAGATGACATCATTTTTGACACTGTGGCAAGAGCGAGTCACACCTCGTGTGTGAGAGGTCCATTAACTCATACCTGCTTGCTATATTATTGCTGCTCAGGTTGACTGTTCACAGCAGCCGAACAACCCTTAGACCAGGAGGAAATGTCCCAGTGCTCCCGACTGGCTGTCCACATGTGATGCTTGGGGTCATTGGCTTACTGGAAAACAGATCTTCAATGTAACATCTTCCTTAGAGACTGCATCAGGTTTTCCTCTGGGATTTTTCTATATTTTGCTCCATATATTTCATCCTCTACCTTCACAAGCCTGCTGCTGAGGAGCATCCCCACAGCACGGTGCTGCCACCGCCCTGCTTCACCGTGATGATGTGCAGTGTTTTGTTTACGCCAAATATAGCATCTGTTCTGATGGCCAGAAAATCATCTTTGATCTCATCAGGCAATAGAGCAGGAAGATACCAATTCACTTTATCTTTCCTCACTCCACTTTCATCTAAGATGGTATCTTCCAGCTTCTGACTGGCTGAACACACCTGAGCCAGGTAATCAGTAGCAGGTCAGGCAGGGATAGTTGGAAAACAAGCAGGACAGCGGCCCTCGAGGACTGCAGTTTGACACCCCTGCAATAGAACCTTCCTCCAGTTGACTTCAGAGTGTCAACAATGACTTTCTATTTGCCACTCACCCATAAAGCTTTGAATGGTCAAGAAAATGAGCAACAGCTGTTGTATGCGCAGTCTCTCCTATCTCAGCCTAGGTGTCTGGTTGGTGGCCTTGCTCACCGGTCCCCCTTTTATGCGATCACTCGCAGCCTGCACTGGACAGATTTGTTTGTTCAATATTCCTTCCATTTTTTAATGATGGATTTAACTGTATTCTGAGGGATATTCAAGAAGCTGTGCCTCAGGAGGCAGAGCAGGTCATCTCTTAACTGGAGCGTTCAACTCTCGCCTTTTCTACCCCACATGTCAAAGTGTCTTTGGGCAAGACACTGAACCCCAAAATGTTCGTGGTGGCTGTGCCATCAGTGAGTGAATGCCTGTATAGGGGAATGACAAATAGTGTAAAGTGCTTTGAGTTGCTTCATTGCATAAAAAGCACTATATAAGACCATTTACAATTAAGTAACTTGTGCTTTTTAAACCTTTTCCCAAAGTTGCTTGGAGTGTTCTTTTGTGCAGTTTTTGGCCAGGATACTGATTCACTAGACCTTCCACATGCAAGTATATTTATACTGCAATCAAACTGAACACATTCACTGCACAGAGGTTATCTCCATTTAACAAATTGCATGGCATGTAAAACCATTTGGCTGCATCAGTGATGATTTAGGTGAGTCACTTTTGAAGTGAGTGAATACTTTTGCAATCAATTATTTTTTATCTTACATTTAAATGAATTTGCTCAACTTTGTAGATGTCTGTTTTGACTTTGACATGGAAGATACTTTTTCACTTGATCAGTGTCAAAAAACCCAAATTGACAATAATTCAGCATTGTAACAAAATAAAAGATAAAAACTTCCAAGGGAGGGTGAATACTTTTTATAGTCACTGTTTAGATGTTGGCACGTTGATGAATGCAGCATTTAGGACGAGATGAAAATGTATTTTTCCTGCTCTCCTGTTGTTGTTTTTCCAGTTCCTCATTAGTCCTTAGAAAATTCTCCACATTACTGAAGCTACATTAATCAGAATTTCAATGGACTAAATGTCTGTGTAATGTAAAAGAATAACTCATAGATATGAATCCAGAGGGAATTATCACCAGACTCCTCCCTTCAGCTGTATTGAGCTTTTTTTTTGTCATTGTTTTATTAACCCCATTTCCAGCTGCAGTAGGCAGCTGTTTTCAGTAAAAATCTTCTGATCAACCAATTATGCGCTGCCTGCCCGGCACCAAAAAGTTTACAGTTTGTTTGTATTAAACAAATATTCATCTGAAATATATGCAGTTTAACCCAACTTATTGTCACAATATTTTTTCTTAACTTATCCAAGTACTTCTGTTAGAAATACACATCTCCACAGCAGTACATTTTTGGGGTAACATAAAGCAGCCGCCTCATTCGCTGTAGTTGTTTTGGGATGATCACACCTTTTCATTTCCAAGTTATTACTGAGAGCAATTCAATTTCCGGTGGGTGTAAAATAATCTCTCTGTTGTATGATAATTCTTTTTACTTGGGAAATTGGTCTGAGACACTGTCCTAGTTTTCTTTTTAAATAGACAACTGACCAAACATCCAGATGATCAAAGTGCGGTTTCTAACTACAGTAAAACGAACTTTAAAAAAAATACTGATGATGTTTCAGTACTTCATTACACAATCGGTCCAAAAATCCAGCTCGCTGTTTTGCAGCATTACATACAATGGCTAAGTATGACCAGAAATATATAACTGCTGTAAACCGTATAGCAGAATTATGTTCTTTATCACCTCAGATTACATATTTTCATAGTGGCCACTGCTACTGTAGGTGTGACATAGAGTGTATATTTAAAATTGCAAAAGTGAAACGCACTGTTTTTCTGTTAGACTAATGTGTATGAATTGTTGTTGTTAATTTATAAATGCATGAATTGTGCCACAAGTCCAATACTAATGCTTTATGCAGATGTCTTACAGAATTTTGCCATTCAAAAACGTTTGCTCACTTAAAGAACTGTTCTCAACAGTAAGCTGTGATTTTTGAGCATTCTGAATTTGAGTTCAATTGCTAAACCTTTAATGACATCATTAATAGCAAATGAGAGAAATGTGGCAAATGTTAATGAGATTCATTCATCAAGCATGTTTGAAAATAATTAGTAGTTTGGGAAACGTCTTCCCTCATGGTTAATGTTTTTCTTCATTGAAAGCCTATTACATCAAATTGCTATCGGGCAGAATCATAACTTTGTTAGCTTTTCTACTTAAAGACGATTATGTGCCTGTTTAAGATGATTCACGCTGGTGTCAGGCCACAGCAGAAATTGAATAATTAACCCATTAACTTCACATGATCAATTGTAAAAGCACATCCGTGCACATCCTGTGCACATCAAGATGGCTTCAGTACATTACTGAAGTAAAGCTTTCACTGAATCTACTTCCCTGCTGCCTGTCTTTTCATTAGCCAGCTTCCAGCACAAGACAAATGTTGCTCTGGGTGGCCCTGGGCTCAGGGTATCCATCATTAGGATGTGCCATGTAGCACCAAGGGTCACACACACATGCTCTGTGTAATTGCAGATGGATACCCTCAAGATGAGATGATTTACAAGTGGAGGAAGAACTCTGTGGAGGCAGCTGACCAGAAGTCCTGGCGTCTCTACCAGTTTGACTTTATGGGCCTGAGAAACACTACAGACATAATAAAGACTACAGCTGGTGAGAAGCACTGTTTCTTCCCCAGAGTTAACATTTGTAATCACGTTGCTGACACACTGTGTTGATATTTAGGATAGGTTTTGTAGAGTTTTTGCCTCATTCCTCCATTTATTTATTGTGCAACATGTTTCTGAGACAGTCTGGCTGAAATCTAGCAAAACTGGCTTGAGAAGAAGAAACTTAGTTAGATGAGAGTCACACAAGAAGACACATACTGGCAAAATAAGTCGAACCAAAAGAAACAACAAATCTCAAGTGAAATCTAAGGTCAAAGGTCAACATGTTTATTTGTCACACATATATTTATGCACAGTTAGGAAACGTGTTTCCCTGCACAATAAAATTCTTACTTACACATGAATGCCACAAAATACAAATGAAATATAAAGTAGATAAATAAGTAACACAAAATCTAAGGCACTTTAAGCAGCAAATGCAGCAATATGATAAAATATATATATCTATGGTGATAGATAAATAGATGGTGATAGATATATATTTAGATAGATATATATATCTATCTAAAAATATATTTATGGTGACACAACTAGTATTCATAGAGTTTACCTTGCCTAAACTCTACTATTTGCTGCCATTTAATTCTGTTTGCTTATTTATAAAAAACAAAGTTGGTTGGACCACCGATGCTGCCCCCATTTTTGTTCCTGAGGCCGTCAACCCACATCTGTCCCGATTCCTGAGTGGGACGACGCTGACACCTTGTTATCATTTCCTGAGGGGGCCAACGTCACCTTGGCCCCATCATATCATGTGTCCTGCCAGCCCCCCCCCCC